GGGGACCGCCGCTGAGCTGGGGGCAGGGGAGGCACGGGCGAAGGGCCGCGGGGGCCCTGCGCCGGGCTGCGGCAGGCGAGGGCGGGCAGGCAGCAGGGCACATGAACCATCGCCGGAAGAGTCATACAAAAACGCCCGCTCTCTCCCATTGCATCCACCCTGTGCGTGGAAGCCACAACTGAAATGGTGCCCATGCTGAACGCAAGGCCGCGAGACGGCTGGCCTGCGCTCTCAGGCACCCCACCTGCACAGCAGCGGTCGCGCAGGTGCAGACGTCGCTGCACTTGTGCCCCAGGCGGCGAGCGATGCTCGAGAGCGGCGTCACACGAGCCTTGACTAGGCCGCCTGCCCTTGCATGTATTGACGAGAAAGTTGCGGGGACGGCCCGCTTTCCCGCCGGAGAAACCCTGCCTTCCAGGCCCACTAGCGATCTATCAGCGAAGCAAGCTAGACTATCAAACTAAAAATAATCGTCAATCAATTCCTGGGGGTGGACAGGCTGGCCTGGGGGCGCCGTGCTTGCATCACACGGAGCATGTGATCGGCCCAATGAAACAGCGGGCGGTTGTGCAGGCCCGGTTTCCTAGTCGCAACAGAGTGTGACTCTAAAATTGAGCTTGGCCCAGGCCAGCGAGCGAGGTCGCGCGGGCAAGGGCGCACGGGGTAGGTCACTGCGAGGAGCTGGTACGCTGTGCGCAGCAGAAGACGTTTTCGGAAGTCTCTCAATTTCGTTTTCGCGTTGCTCTTGGCGTGCGTTCGAGTGTGGCGGCTGGCACATGGGGCATGGGGCGTCAACTCGTAACTCGTGAGCACTACCTGTGCCACCCATCGATACAGCCGGCCTCGGCAGGGCAGCGGCCGAGAACAGCAGCTGAGCTGTCGATTCAATTCATGGTGGACCTGTTGATGCAGTCGCAGTGCTGTACATCGCCAACGCAAGGGCAGCATGGGGTCGACCTGTTGAGGGCCCAATTGGGGTGTCACAGCACATGGCACAGATTCTTTCGCTGCCGCACTTATTGTTTTCTCTGCTGCAATAACATCGCTAATTCAGGAGCGCAGAAAAGATGGCAATAGTGCCAAATTCCCTGCTTGCTCGAGGGGCCGGAGTTTTGACCCCAGAGGTCAACCTGACCTCTGATCAAGGGCCAACAGGCCAGCCCAGCCCTTGGTTTGTGATGCCAGGGATCAGGCGCAGACCGTTGAGGCACCATAAACACACGAGCGCATGCCAACCAAGAACGACAAGATCGGTCGCGTCAAGACAAGCGTGCATATGGGGCACTGTCGACACTATGACGTCGCGCGCACATGGCCGGTGACGCCCAGGAGCTGCGACGCGATCACATGACCTGGCCAGCTTCGCGGCAAGCCCGCCCCAAACCCTAACGGCGCCGTCCGGCGGCCTGCACAAGCGCCTTGATATGCCCCACAAGCCCGAAGAAGGCAGCGGCAGACAGGGTCGCGGCCAGCGCGAGTTGCCGGCAAGGCAGCCCAGCCCTCAAAAGTTGGGGCGGGCGGCTTCTGGTGCGAGCGCGCAGCTGGGATCACAGGAGCGGCGCCGGCCTCGCGGCGCAGAGGCGCCGGCCCGCGCGACAGCTGCAGTGACTGCATCAAGTTGCCGGGCCCCTTGCGCCCCGGTGAATGCAGGCCGCCATCGCTGCTAGGTGCGCAACGCCAGGGATGCACGCAGCAATGTTCCAAGCTGAGCCCCATGCGTAAGAGACGGAAGCCTGGAGGCTCGAGCCTAGCCCTGGTCCCCCGGTGCCTTGACGCCTTCACACGCCGCCGCCGACACCGGCGCTTGGCAGAACGCCATCCACGGCGCGTCGGAGCACCACGGCGGCTTCGTGCACACGAAGGCACCGCTGCTGCTGCCGCCGCCGCCGCTGCCGCCGCCGCCGCTGCGTCCTGGGCCGCATTGGTCTGGGGGCCCAGCCTCGTCACAGGCGGCGGCTGAGTAGCCTGCCGAATAGACGTCTGGAATCTGTTTGGCGCACTTTCCGGGGACGCGGGTGGGGCCCTGCTTGGGCAGGAGCGGCTTGCAGTAAAGGCCCCGCGCGCAGCTCCGGTTGGGTAGGTAGGCGGCGCAAGCGCCGCCGAGGGGGATGCGGCGCTCGCACACGGCCTTTGAGATGCTGCAATAGAGGTCCGGAGCGCATGGGCTGGGGGTGGCCAGCGTCTTGGGGGCCGTGCACTTGGCGCCGATTGGCAGGGGTGCTGTGGGGCGGGTGTTTGAGTGGGAGGGGTTCGAGGGGTTCAGCTTGCGGAGCCGGCCAGGTCTGGAAGTGAAGCCTTGCGCAGCAGTTTGAATCTTTGGGAGGGTTGAGATGGCAATCTTTGGGCCAGGGTTGCATGCTTCTGGATGTCAGCAGCTGCATGGAACCTGTGTCCACTGGCGACGTGATGCATGCGCCGCATGGCTCTGCGCAAAACACATGGTTCACCCTGACATTGTCAGCAAAACTGCATGTCCGACCGACCTGCTGAAGCGGCCAGCCCGCGAGCAGCGGCCGCTGAATGCGCGATATTGAGTCCCAACAGTCCCAAGATGAATATCAGCGACGCGCACTTTGTGTCATACTGGCACGACATGTCCCTCCAACGCGATGTTCAACAAGATCAAAAAACACCCCGAAACGAGATCATATCCCGGAAGAATGTTGATATGATGTACCAAACGAAGCAAAGACTTGACTAGAGGGATGGTCGTGCTGCAGCTTCTCTGCAGGAGCAACAGTTGCAACGGCCACGATCATAGCTCTCATGCACACCCAGATTTGCACCTGTGTTCAAATGAGCGAACACTCAGTGCGGCTCACCATGATAGGCGACAGCATTCCGCATCGGATGCAGTACTACCTAGATTATTCTTCACCGTATCATGCACAGAGTGACGTGACTGGCCGGAGTTGGAGCTGTCTGGGTCAGGTCAAAAGCCCTATGTTCTCATAACTCACACATGTTCCTCTGAAGGGCTAGATGAGCCCACCTACGATATGCGCACCTTGATGTCGATGCTCCTCAGCCCCAGGCATATTGCCCGAATGTGATTGCACACATCTCCTCCAATACAGATGCCGTGTAAGATATTGGCATGCCTGTGGTCCGACAGCATGCCGGTAATAACCAACTTCCCACTACTGTACTGAACAACTTTCCGGACTGTAGAAGGCGCAGCAACCTGGGGACACGGACACCTGAGCTCTCCACCTCAGTTATCAACACCCACAATTACTAGGTAGGAGTGGGCTGAAAGATCCAAAGCAACCTGCGGGATTCATGCAGATGTCACGATCTGTCCTGATGTAGATTACATTGGTGTTTCGTTGGTTGACTTTTGTTGTTTCTTGGGTAGGTGGGCTGGTTGTTTGAGCTGGGTTGGTGATTCGAGTTGGGTTGGTGACGGGAATTGTCACAACTGGTCACGCTCAGTCACACCTACTCATGAGCACCAAAGCCAACGCGTGCCAAAAGCCCAGCGGCGATCCAGCCCTGTCCATGAGTTGAAACATGATGTTTACAATTCTTGGCTGTGTGATAGCAAAAGCAATGCGGGAGTCAACATGTTCTAGGCTCTTCAGTGGCCGAAACGAGGGCAACCTGGCTGGGCAAAAAGCAGGAGGTGATTTTTCATGGGCTGATGGGTGGGGTGGGGTGGTTCAAACATCCGCACTGCACAAGGGGTGTGTGGTGGTGAGGGGCGCGAGGAGGGGAGGGGAAGGTGCAGAGTGGTGTGGTGTGGCGGGGTGGGAGTATCACAGCCTGATGGAGCAAGCCTCATGCGTGAAAGGCGGCCGCCAGGTTGACTGAGGCCCTGGCTTTGACGGCACCCGCAGGACGGCCCGGACTGCACCCGGGGCGAGCACGCACGTGAGGGCTCCCTGTAAGACCCCGCTGCGCAGCATGGGGGTGACAAGGGGGACGAAGGCTGCCGGCCAGGGCGCGACGCCCCGCCCGGCATCAGGAAGATGCGGCCTATGAAAAGGCGGCCAGGCAGGGGAAGGCGTCGCGGGCCGAACGGTGCTCGGCAGAGAGAAACATGACGCGGGAGGCTCTGTAGGATTGAACTGTGCAGACTCACTGCTCGCTCCGGTGGGTGGGGGGGGGGGTGGGGGGATCCAACAGCTTTGATGCGATAGGCGCTGACGCACGTACGGCTGGAAGGTCCGAGCCTCTTGAACTGCCGGGCCTGCTGGCACGCAGGGCGGCTCGCGGGCGGCGCACGGCTAGGGAGGAATAAGAGCAGTGCAATATGTGCAGGGCACCGCGGGGTGCGGCGACAACGCGACGAGGACGCCGCTCTGCGGGCCCAAGGGCACTCCGCCTGCCGCCGGCGCCCTGGGGCCGCCCCTCTCCCTCTTTCGCGTACGCACGCGCATTTGCACGCGTGCGCACGCGCTGCCCTTGTGATGCGTGCGGGCGCTCGTGCGCGGCGCACAATCCATAACGCCGGCTGGAGCGCATTCAAATGTCGCGTTTGGATTGGGGAGCGCGCAGTGTTCAAGTCATTCTCCGTGGATGAGCACAATACATACAGGCATATGAGCGGGCTGGAGCCAGGGACTCCAATAAAAGAATGCACATAGGGAGGACGAGGAGGGACTAGCGCTGCAGCAAACCGGGAGGGACACGACGGCTCGACGCGCATGCCGGCGGGAAGGGCTATTCACAGCCCCCGCGTCGCCCCGCCAGACGCTGCGGCCGGCCTTCCTGAAAGGCAGGAGCCGGGCCGCGTTGGACCCTTGTGACGTCATCATGACGTCATCATGACATCCGCCCAACGTCACCACCTTGTGACGTCATCATGACGTCATCATGACATCCTCCCAACGTCACCACCAGGGGAACAGCTCCTCTAAAGCCTGCAGCGCCCGCAGCACCTCGTGAAACTTTGGCCTGGTCGAATAAATCCAGTGGGAACGCCCGCGGAAGGTGCATGGGGGAGGGAGGGGGGCTTGGGAGGGCCAAGGGGTTGCATCAAGGCCAGGATGAACCCGCCAAACCAGGTGATGCTGATGACGCTGGTGGTGCTGATGGCGGCCAGTGATGATGATGACTCAGGTGATGCTGATGTGACAGCCGTTGGCAGCGGCGCCGCTGCGACGTGAGAGCAGGGGCCACGAGAGCAGCCGGTGCCCTTGCAACAGGCAGGACCGGCGCTGCCGCTAGCGCGTCCGCCGCTGCCGTCAGACCATTCCCCGCGCCCCTCGCCCCCTGCCTGCCGGGACGCACCTGTTTTCTGGCTTGGGGGACAAGCACGCGGCCAGCAGCGGCCACACCTTCTCGGGCGTGCTCTCGGGGACGGTGAGCATCTTGCCCGTGCTGACCGCGTGCAAGACCTGGCTCGGTGTGAGCCCGACAAAGGGGTGGCCGCCCTGGAACATCTCCCAGAGAATGACGCCTGGGG